TTTCCTGCAATGTATCCCAACATCAACATTTCATTTTAAATACAGAATGACTTAAGTAAAACCACCATCTCTAAAGAAGTGCAAAGGCCATAAAAAATAATATAAACATTGTGTTCTCCAACAGATCATAGTATGGCAGATTTCATGGAAAATAAATTTTACTTTTTTCATCACTCATTGCCTCATAATTTATATTTTTAAATAAGAGATCTTCGTCAACAACAATTAGTCCATGATATTTACAAGCAGCAATTTAGTAGTTTATGTAAAACTTAATACTTAAATGACATGTAATGATAAACATCAAATATCACTCCTTAAGTGTTTGTAATTTAAAAAGTAGAATACATTATTGCTGTTACTATTTCTCCATGGTTTTTAGTTCTCCTGATATATATGGAATATGGCACAAATAAAAGTAGCTACCTACATTAATTTTATAGAAAATATATAATAATTCTTAATGAGCTTAAATATCTATTCTCAAATACACTAATGGAAGGTCAGAAAAATAACTGCAGGCATCTAATTGTGAATACAATTGAAGTATAAGCAAGAGAAGGGCCATTTAAACATATTTTACATGCTTGTTTATTAAAATATTATATGCCTTTCTATAGGTATTTCCTATAATATCTAAGTATCTAGTATACCTGTTGTGTGAAATCACTTATAAAAGATGCTCCACAAATAAGCAATCCATGACTAAAGTTTCTAAATCCTATAAGGGGCATAACTTTTTAAATTTACTTTGTTTACATAAATGAACTGTGTAGAGCAAAGTAAACTTCAAACTTGTTATAAACACACCTTATAGACTTACTAACAAATTGCCTCCACAGTACTCTAATGTAGTGCCATTATTTTATGTTGTTTTCTGCTTATTTAAATCTAATCATAGTTGTGGAAGAAGAGAAATCATTTCTTGCCATTTTCCCTCTGGACCTCTCATCTATCAGTTCTCAGGAGCAATGTTCATTTTTAGTTGTTATTTTCAATTGTCTTTATAAATGCTGTCCACTGGTTTCTCTGGCAAACAGAATCTGGCTATAAATGCTTAGGACTCTTACTAAGGGGAGTTAGTAGAATATATAGCACTTCACTGGTGTAGTTTTTCTGAGAATATATTAAAGGAAGAAAAGATCTATCCTAAAAGCTGCATTTCTTAATCTGTAAAATGTACCTATTCTAGGACTTCAGCATTTCATATCCATAATGGTTAAAACAAAATATTTCAGACTAAAAATTATCTTCCTAATAACTGCTGTCTGTGAAAATGACATAATTCTAAAATAATATATAACTTACTCAAAGTGTCATACCTACCTCTTCTAAAAGGTTATTCTTGAAAACAATGCATAAAGGTTAAGACATTATTCGATTTGTGCAACTTTTTAAATGCTATCACTTAAAATAATAATTCCACTAAATTTTAGCTCAATGGGGGCATATGCTTTAACTTTTGAGATTTCCCTTTTCCCCATTATACACTACTGTAAAAATCTGAATGATGTATCACTCAAATTGAAACACTTTTTAGTACAAATCCATTATTTTAATGGATTGAATTTTAATTATTCTTTGTATTTCATATGAGTGCAAATCCAGAGTTTTAAAGAAATAGTCTCTATTTTAAAACAGGTATGCCCATTCTGGCCTAATGTAAGTATATGCTTTGAAAGCTTTCTGTTCTCTGTCACTGTTTCTGCAGACTTGAGTCAGTGAAGAAAGGAGTGACTATTCCTCGGTTAGAAGGAAAATTCTCTGACAAACAAAATTGAAAAAAAATAATGATCCTGTCTCATTGAAAGAATAATGGACTGCTGAAAAGGGTGCTTTTATTCATCACTTGTGTATTTTTCTAGATTTAAACAGCATAATTTCATTTTATGAGATGCCAGGCAAACACAAAAAAAGTAATTATTTAATGTCGTCAATAACACATATCAAAAATATCTTGAAATGAGTTTTTAAGAAAAGCAACACAGATCATCATACTGTTTACATGTTTTGCAATCTTCTACAGATTCCAACTAATTAAGAGCTAATATTTACAACTATCATAGCGTGCATCTGTGTTGTGAAAAGTCCTGTGCTCCTTTTCACCTCAGCTCAGACTTGGAAGAATTCACTGTATAAGCAAGTATCAAGTAATGTGGCCCTCTGGTGGAAAACTAAGTACCACGTTCTGCAGCTCAGTGTTAAGACAGTAAATTAGAAGCTGTAAAATATTTGTTACAAAGCTTTATAGAACCTTTCAAAAATCATCCTGCAAGTTTAATTAATAGCCTGACACCTGAAGGACACTTTAGTTCTGCTATGACGTAACTAATATGAAAATCCTACCTTTCTTCATCTTTCAACCATATTCCAAACAATAATAAATTCTCAGCATCTGTTAGCATAAAACAACACACTCAATTGGCTCTGAATACACTGGTAACATTTAAGAAAGCAGTCTTATTTGTTTGAAGGAGATACTGAGGAAAACAAAACTTACCTGCTGTTGTTGCAGATGCAGCAGTTCTACTGTGCTTACTTCAGAGCTGGTGTCACCGCTTGGTCTTCCATCTCTGCTGCCAGCATCTAATTGGCTGCTTAGAGTGCTCATTCCATTTTGATTCATTGAACTGTTGCTTATTGTCTCTGTCGCAGATTCCTGCATCATGACTTAATACCTAAAAGTGATTAAGAAGTATCAATTAACACACGTTACACCTTCACACTTCCATTATCAAGATGTCCCTCTCTGCCAATTACAGAGACAGCATCTTTAGAAAGAAAGAAAGAGAGAAAGAAAGAAAGAAAGAAAGAAAGAAAGAAAGAAAGCCTTGAATAGTCATTTACCTAGAAAAGCAATACAAATTCAGTTTTTCTCCAGACACTAATCACTGAAATTACGGTTTCTATAAGCAATGTTTGTGTGGCTACATTTAACAGCCAAAGTAACGTACCATGCATATAGCATGGTCAATAGCATTTATGAACAACCACATTTTAAAGACTACCTATAAAACCAGTTTAAATGAAAGCACAATTGCACACACTGTACTGTTTCCTATTATCTACCTTTGACAACCATGGATGACTATACAGCCTTTTTTAAATATTCACTATCTTGATTCTGTCAGAATTTTACAGCATATCTTATGCAAGGCTGTTGTTTAATGATGCACAGCTAATCATACAAAATTAAAATTTTGTAAGGGTGTTACAAATCATATGGTATCAACCAATGATAAATAGTATAATGGGTTTCTCTTTTTTGTCACTAAATAAAATTTTGCCTTGGAGGCATTTTAAGAAAAAGCTCCTGCTGCAAACACGTCTGATATTGCCTATTTTTTTAATCAAACAGCTCATATTCATTTATTTTTTCTGACATTTAAAACATTTAATACTGTCCTTCCTGGGAAGTAATTAAGCTTATGCATGAGCAGCAATCAAACTGTTCACTTGAAGATGACTTAAAACTCAATTTTAACATAGGCAAATAAATGAAAGATATAAAATTAATTTTCTAGGCATGTATTAGATATGAAAGCTGGAAATAAAATCTATCAAGAATATCACTAATGATTGTGCTAAAAACAGCATAAATTATGCATATTACCTTCTCTACAGTAATAAATGTTTTATCATTTTCACTGCATAAATATACTGTACTTTCAGGATAGCAATGAGATGTCCTGCCAAGATCAGTGGAAATCCTCGCAGTAAATAAAGAACCAATGTGCTCTTACACACCAGAATTTCACAGTACATCTTCAGTCTGTGGTTTAGGCTCTCAAAGACATCTGAATCCTATGCCATCACTCTATAGATGCACTTCTCTGTTTTGCTTCCCCAGACAGAATTTCAGAAACAACCTGGTTATGCTGTGACTTTAATGGAAATGCCACCTACAGTGGACTCGGTCCAAGGAAGACACTGCATTTGCCATTCTATAACTTCATTTGTTTAAACTTCATTTATTTTGAGATTTTTGTCCATTTAAATTTTTGAGATATATTTATTATAAAGCAAAGGTAAGCTTAATATTTCTTCCTGTCATAAAAAATCCTTTGGCCCAGATATTATATAAAATGTGATCACAAACACAAGGACACATTCTGGAGCACAAACACATATCCAGTAGGTATTTTTAAATGCTGATATTAGAGTTATTTAAGTTAATAGCTATAACTTAATCATTCAAGCAGATATTTTCATCAAAGTCTAAAATAGTATATTATTTCTATAATTTTAAAAGTGATTTGAATGGCATACTGATTTATGAGAGACCATCAGTAGCTAGATTAGCAAAGCCACTTAGTGTAATAAAAACCACATACACAACTTAAAACTATGCTTTTAAAAAATTTTAAAAAAATAGGAAAAATAGAAAGTAATCACTGATACCAAAGTAAACAACTTTTGAACTGAATGTATCTGGAGTAAATAAGCTTTGTTATATGTTTTACTGAATAGTAACAGAAAAATCATGCAGATGGAAACAAACACTGATGGATATTATAAGAAAAAAACAAAGCTAATACTTTTTTCTGAGATTGGGTGGCTAATAAGTATTCAAATTAGGCATAAATTTTACATGTACAATGTGTAAAATATTCAGAGAAATAGTCTGATTGCCTTTACTAGTAATATGAAAATTGTAATTTCGGTTCTCCAACTATAAAAAAAAGACATAACTTCTATACATTATATTTAAATTTTATTTTGAACATTATTATATAAAGAATATGTGTAAGTGTGTGTTTTTATATCATCATTCAATTTATCATTCCTGGGTGGAATTTGAAAAAACAAAGAATAAAAATGAAGAAATGTGTTTTCAAATCTAACAGATAGGTGCAGCATTTAATGCTAATCTTGGTGTATTTATGTCAGGATCAATTGGATAAATTGAAGAATTTTGCATGCATTACTGTGTTATAAACAAGGCTATCAAATAATTATGAATAATCAACAAGCAAGAACCATGTGTCTAAAGCTTTATTACAATTATGAAGAAAGACCCACATACTTCCATTCCCTGTTAACTAAATGATTTTCATAACCCTTGTGGAGTTTTTGACTTTATAAATCCTCTGGAGTATAAAGCGTGATTTACATTTTAAGTTCAATCATCTAAGAGTTAGTAAAATCATGCTAAAAAAAAAAACCTGTAACAATGATAGTACTTCCACTCCACAAAATAGGAACATTGAAACAAGCATTATTAATAGGGAAAAGAAGGACTACTGTGTATTTAATGTGTGTATGACCTAAAGAAGATTTGCAGTGTGTGTACTGTAAAGGAGATATTTCTTCAAAGGTAATATACGTACTTTTTAGGCATTTACCAAATTTCTTCTAATAATACTCCCTTGCTTATTTTCTCACCAGAGAACCTATGTCTAGCACAATGCAGGTGCTGTTTATCTTTTGAGTATATTTTAAATAATTACAAATTCTGTTTATTCTTCTCAAGTGAATTATTTTGTGGTCCCTAACATATCAAACTAAATTATTCATTCTTCTCAATCCTACCACAAACATCTTACAAAAATCAGTGAAAATAAATCTCAGATAATTACAGGGAAAGGTGCACTCGGGAGTCACTATTTTAATGTTTATCTGAATATAAGTTAAAACCTTAAGTCTTCCATCATTCACAACTTTTCAGTCGCATCTGAAATTAACTCTTCAGCTCTAGCACTCAAGTAATGCAGCTCTACTTTTCTCCTTTGCATTAACTTTTCTATTCTTCCCTTTTTCTTTTTTTTAAGCAAGTCACTATAAAGATACTTATTCTCTACACCACTTCCCTTTTGAAACATTAAACTGACACTGGAACTGACTGCACAAGATTGCATTTTCTCTTCCTAAACAACTTGAATTGAAAGGTTACTTAGTGTAACAATATTTACTTTCAGAATTGTGTTGTTACCAAGGGTATAATGGATGGTGGCTATGCAGGTTTACGCAAGAATGAGTGAAGCATGAGGCATTAGCCATGTGTTTGACATGTTTCAAATTGCTATAATCCAGCATTAAACACACCCCGCAATTCATGCCATTTCTTGCAGCCATAATCTTGAATAAAGCGTGCACAACCACTTATTATATAAATTAGTATATGACTCCCTGTTATAGTCACAACAGTGCTTTTGTGTTTATTTTGCATCAAGATGTAGTCTTTTATTTGTACAAATAGCAGGATATAAAGACATAGCTCAATTAGGCCTCCTTACTTTATGATAGGGTAGTATTGAATGCTAGATTTGTTGGTTTTATAGTTTCCTCTCAGAGTTATAAGTTCTCTGATATAAAATGGTACCAAACAAGATAGTTATATGTCAGAGCAATAACAGAAATCTGAATACATCTGATTCTGCATTTGCTGCAGTGTTCAAAAGTTGGAGGCTTGGCCTGGGCAGGAATAGTTAATTGTGTTACCCCAGCCACCACCAGGGACACTATTGGTCCTTGTTGCTTACTCAAATCTTTTCTCTCTGGTCTTCTTTTATCTTTGCTTTCACCCCCTGTCTCATCTTCCACAGTTGTCTTGTTTCCTTCCTTTCTTCCAGTTCCTACTGTGTGTATGTTTGTGTGTCTGTATGTTTGTGTGTCTGTGTCTGTGTCTGTGCCTGTGTGTGTATGTGTGTGTGTCTGTGTATGATGTAGATCCACTGATCAACTGAGCTGAATATATATGTCAAGAAATGCAAAGAAGGCAAAAATGGTCTCTGCTTTCTTCCACATTCTGTGTACATGCTCTGCACCTCATATTCTTGTTACCATAGTATTAATTTTTTGTCTATATGACATCTTATTATGAATGCAACAAATGAATAAAAAGCAATGACTTCTAAAATGAAGAACAAATAACAGTACATTTAAAAGTTTGTAGCTATTTGTAATTTAAAAAGTATTTCAGTGGAATTAAAAAACACTTTATGTCCAGTATCAGATTATTCTAGCTTGCAATTGATTTATCCAATATATTCCTTAAATCCAAAGGATACTGAACAGGGCATTTTTAAAAGTACAACCAACAAACCTAAAAAGTTAACATTTATACTCAAACACATCTAATTTAATCATTTATAAATTTTTAATGCTAACAATATTAAAGATTTCTATGTATATTTGCAAAAGAGTGGGGAAAACCTACATATGCAACAAGAAATTACAGCAAGTTGTACCTAAATTCTGAGTCTTAAAACTTGACTGTGATATAAAACTTCTTAAAGAAACTTGCATTTAAATAATGATAACTTTTGTGCTCTAGTGGAATTAATTCATCATGGACACCATGCATAGTGCATTTGAAATCTAGTACTGCTTTGCTAAATGTCTTTAATACTAAGATTGCCTAATAAATCAAAATGCCAAATATGAAGGACATAGTTGAATGTGTAAGAACAAAAATTGAAAAAGCACATGGACAATTTTAATTTTTAAAAGCTGAAATAGATGTCCTTTAACAGATGATTTGAGAAAGGGCATTTGTTATAGAAAATTATATATTTTTATTATAATGAAATCAACTATAGTTTTTACCAAATAAAGAGTAACATTATAAAATATTTGTCACTGGTTTTTACTGATTTAACAAAATTCACACATTAAGGTCTTCTTAAAGAAAAGCTATTTTAATGAAATTTCATGTTTTCATTCTAAAAGACTACAT